AGACATAATGCAACAAATGTAAAACTGTGCCCTAGAATCATCTCTATTAAAAAGAAATTAGAGGAATCTACTGATTATGGACTTACAAACTAATCACCAAATGAATAAGTATCAGAGAAAGAGTAACATATCTGAACAGAGCAATAAAATACATCTCAATAATAATTGCAATAAAACGTCTAATAATGGCATTAGATTCATCCAATGCAATTTGGGCCGAGGATATAATGCCCAACAAGAATTATTAGCATATTGTCGCTCAAATAGTGTACAAGTAGTCTTTATAAATGAACCATATATCGGAAATAATACAATTATGAACAAAACACCCGGCTACACAACATACCAATTTCCTCATAACCGTCATGTAAAGGCTAGCATTCTGATTAAAGAAGGTCTTGGCAGCTGCCTCGGGATTTCAAAATATTCAACGCCAAATTTATGTATAGTACAGCTCATCACTTCTGGGAAAAGAATATTTCTAACTAGCATTTACGTAGAGCCCAAAGACGATGAAAATGAAACATTGAACCACTTGGAACAATTTATAATTGAAACAGGAGACGCCATTCATATTATCGCGGGAGACCTAAATGGCTGGCACCAACTTTGGGGATCTCCCACAGCGAATAAAAGAGGTAAAGAAATAGTTGATATTATTATTCCTCACAATCTTACCATCAATAATACTGGCACAGATCATACATATGAAACTACAGCGGATGGAATTCTACGTGGTTCCATCGTTGATCTCACCATAACTTCATCCTCAATCTCGAATCATATTATTAATTGGCAAATAGATAATTCTATATGTCCCTCCTCTGATCACCATGGTATCAAATTTGAATATTTCCTTAATAAAAATCATATCCGTCAGAATAAGAAAAAATCGACTTACCAATATAATACTAATAATTTTAAGCAATGGGAAAAACTAAGCGAAGCCTTTTCCAGAGAAATTGAACTGACCCAACTTAACAAAATTGACATCCTATCCTTAGATCCAAATAACTTACTACACTTTATTGATGAAATAACCGCGTTTGTTCACAAAATTTGTAAAAAGTATCTTCCCCACTCTTCTATTCGTCCTGAGCGCCCTTCTTGGTGGACCGAAGACTTAGAAAAATTAAAAAGAAAAGTTCTTGACAACCATCACCTGCTTCAAAAACTTAGTCGAAAACGTCTTCCAATGAACGAAGCAATTATAAACAAGACCCAACTCCGAAAGGAATACGCCGAAGCAATCAGAAAGGCCTCAACTGAAAACTTCCGTGAATTCTGCAACAAACAAGGTAAGGAAGATGTGTGGTCAGTTACAAATAGATTGCTGAAGAATTCAATCCCAACCCTACCACCTTCCACCCTCAAAATAGCACCAAACAAATATACTACTTCTTCTGAAGAAACAGCCCATATATTTCTTCAAAAATTTTATCCAGAGGACACCATTGACACATATAGTTCCCAAACCGTCACCCGACAAACCATAAAATTTCCACCGAATACAAATGATGATCCTCCATTTACTATTGATGAAGTCCTCCATAACCTCAAGGATATGAACCCTCGAAAATCACCTGGACCAGATCACCTTACCTCCGACATATGCTTCTGTTTCACTCAAACATTCCCAGAACTAATAACGAATATTATTAATAGATGCCTAGCTTTATCAATATTCCCTAGACAGTGGAAACATGCGCAAGTAATTATTATTCCTAAGCCCAACAAACTTGACTATACTGAAATCTCAGCTTATCGCCCCATCGGACTGCTTAATGTTTTTGGTAAACTCCTTGAAAAGTTGGTCATCAAACGACTAAATCATTTTATTTACACTAACAACAAATTCAATAGTAAACAATATGGGTTCAAGGAACAAAGGTCAACGACAGAAGCACTTAATAATATGATTACATTTGTTAGAAATTGTAAAATCAAGGGAGATCAAGTTGCCGCTGTCTCTTTGGATATTCAGGCGGCATTTGACAATGCCTGGTGGCCCGCTATTTTGCGTAGACTCCACATAATTAATTGCCCCAAGAATATATACAAACTAATAACAAACTACCTCAGCGAGCGAACAGTTAGCATAAATTTCTCAAGCAGCAGTGCCAACAAAGCCATGAGTAGAGGATGCATCCAAGGTTCAGTTTGCGGACCGACATTTTGGAACCTGATCTTGGATGAATTACTTGAAAAGGACTTGCCCGAAGGATGTCATATTCAAGCCTTTGCTGATGACGTTACGCTCATTGCTCACGACAAAGACCCCTTAAAGTTACAGGAAATAATTAATAAGGCACTCCATATAATCACCATTTGGGGAGAGTCAGTCAAATTAAAATTTGGGCCTCAGAAAACCCAAGCAATTGCCTTCACAGGTAAAGCTGAGAAAATAAAAATATCAGTATCTGGCACTCCCATCAAATTGGAAAATTATATAAAAATTCTAGGCATCATTATAGATAAAAAACTAAAATTCATTCAACATGTTCATCATATATTGGTCAAAACAAGAAGTATATATAACAAATTATTAAAATATATCCGACCTACTTGGGGAATACAATCCGAAAATATTGAGATTATATATAAAAATGTTATTGAACCAATTATCTGTTACGCGCCCAGCATATGGCACTCGGCATTAAAATATAAACATGTAAGAGACAAGCTGCTATCCCTGCAACGTGGTTTTGCTATAAAAATAATTAAAGGTTTTAGAACCGTAAATACCATCAATGCAATAGCACTGGCAAGGCTGACTCCTATACACATTAAAATTAATGAACTGGCAATCATCGAAACAACGAAACTAACAGGCACAAGCAAATATCTTCCAACAGACATTAGTTTAGACACACCATCGAAACCAGAAGAACGATTACATCCATCTCGTCGCAAAATTATCCATTACCAAGAAGCCAATAACGCTCAAGAAGTCAATCAGATTCTCCTCGAAAACACTCATCACATCTACACAGATGGTAGTAGACACGACGAAAAGGTTGGGGGAGCTTTTGTTGTATATTGCCCCAATGGTAAAATTATAACTAGAAAACTAAAACTCCATAGTTCTTGCTCGGTGTTTCAAGCTGAGTTGAAAGCCATAGAACAAGCTTGTGTGTGGCTTGCAGATAAACACATTCCGAATGCAGCTATTCTGACTGACAGCAAATCTGGACTACAAGAAATCGGTAACCCCAATAGTACAAACCAAATAGTTACCAACATCCACAGAATGCTAGACAACCACAGCTTATCAGTTAATTTCATTTGGGTCAAAGCCCACACAGGTATAGCTGGTAACGAAGCTGCTGACCTGGCAGCCAAAGCTGCAGCCACAAGCCATAACGTCCCTATTCTCATAAAATTTCCAATTAGCTTCGTAAGAAAACTTGCTCAACAAGATAGTAAAGTAGCTTCCGAACAATTTTACCAAGATAACATGAAAGGTGAAATAACCAGAAAATGGCTCCCTACACTTACACACATACAAGAATTATACCAAGTCACCAAGCACTCATTCACACTAACACAAATTCTTACAGGTCACGGCTACCACAAAGAGTACCTTCATAGATTTAAAATAGTGGAAAATAACACATGCCCTTGCGACGACACTGCAGTACAGTCAATTTTCCATTTACTTAATGATTGTCCAAAATTCCAAGCTACACGTCTAACCCATACGATAACTTGCGCCAATTTTAAAGTACAACCCTTCTCCATTGAAGAAATTATTAAAAAGGAAAGCACATTTGAAACGTTTCTACACCATATTAATAGTATAATAAAAAGTCTCAAGAAATTTAACGGAACAGAATAATTTTGAACTCAAAACATGTAAAATAAATATTTATAAAACATCTCCAAGAATTCCCACAGCGCACAAATGTTCTGTATCAAATAGCAGAACGGCAAATGAAAAACATTGCCAACTCCCACAAAAGTGATGATATTTGTGGGAAAAAAAAAAAAAAAAACCTAACCTAACCTAACCTAACCTAACCTAACCTAACCTAACCTAACCTAACCTAACCTAACCTAACCTAACCTAACCTAACCTAACCTAACCTAACCTTTTTTTTTTTTTTTTTTACGTGGGGAAATCCTCATGGATACCCGTCTGTCGTGTAGGCGTCAGACAGGTTATGCCGGACTCCTACCGGCTAAAACCCCACTGTTTACATCTCATCACCTTTTGTCAGGGCTACGGGAACGCTTTCGCATACTACCGCACGACGGTCAACAGCCCTTACAGGCTCCGACTCGACGACTTCTTCTTGGAGGGGCGTACCATCACACCGTACGCGCCACCTCGAGGCCCTGCATAATAGGTGACGGACAGCCCCCTGTGTCCGCCCCCTAAGCCTCAATTACGGGGGGTGGAAGAGAGCCTGATATGCTCTTCTCCGGCGCCCAGCTCTCCGGCTGCGGATTGGGATTGTTGCCGTCTTTTCCCTCTCCCTCTCCGCAACTTCCTTTTGTGACATCACTTTTTCGCAAAATGTTACCCCAGCACTCCACGCCCTCTCGCATCCAACCATAGCTTTAATAAAAGCTGGGAGCGAGAGGTCATCCCCCACTACAGCCACGAGGTCCCGACGCAAGTCAGCCCAAGCCGGGCAAACCTCAAGGGTATGTTGCGCCGTGTCCTCGTCGCTACCACAGTGATGGCACTCAGTTGTCGGCTCTCTTCCGGCTATACGGCACAGATACTTACCGAAGCACCCATGCCCGGAAAGCACCTGCACCAGCCGGAAGGTCAGTGACCCATGTCGCCTGTTTGTCCAGTCTAACATGACCGGAAGAACAGCATCGACAGTTCTGCTTCCTGCCTTCGGGTGGGCTAGACGCTCCTTCCACTTTTCAAGCACCTGTTGCCGAGTGTGGAGCTTTCGCAATTGCCACTCTCTGGGAGAGGGGGGGACATCCTCGGTGTCGAAGTTCCAAGCGCCAATCGTACATAGACGCAAGGAACTCCGCCTCTATATCCCAGGGTGGGGACGCCGCCAAAACGCATGCCGCCTCAAAGGAGATCGTCCGGTATCCTCGCACGACTCCGACGGCCATCGCCCTCCGGGCTGCAGTGTTATAACTACAGCCGCGGATTTTGGGGAGCGCAGTTTCACAGATGCTGGTCTCTTGGAAGGATTGACGGTTCCTGCCTTGCGTTTTTTACCTCTTCTCACTACTGTGGTCCATCCTTCTTCCGTGGACTCAGGAGGTTGAGGGCGTGATTCTGTTGGCTGGTTGGTTGCCATTTCTGTTGTTCTCCCTTCGTGTCCCTTTCCCTTTCTGTTTCCTCTTTGTATTTCCAGCGTCGGAATTTTCTTGTTGCCTATTCTTGTTTTTACGGCGTATTTGTCAGCCTTCGTAATTGTATCAGACTTCCGCCGTAGTATGTCTGCATCATTTACTACATCTCTGCGCACATCAGCAGCCAGCGGAGGGCGGACACGCTTTTCTGGGAGAAGCCGCTCCTCAAGCGCCTCCAATCGCGCATTCATCATGTCACCAACTTGGCGCATAATGGAACTTATCAATTCCTCACTTTCCTTGTCTCCTCGCACCTGAGGAGTTGGTGGAGCAGGTGTTTTATTGATCCTCGCCATTTCAAGCCGGATTTCAGATAGCTCTTTACGAAGCTCCTCTATTTCACTGCGCAGGCAGGTGTTTTCAGCCTGCAATTTCGCCGTTTCTTCATTCACTGACCTCTTATGTAGGACCTCCACGACTGTTTTTATTGACGTGGCAGCATCCTTTAAGGCACGTTGAAATGTGCCTTTCAGATTTCTCGACTTGGCTGCTACCATCAGTATGACTCCGACATCGTCGAAAACCTGTTGGTTGAGAGCCATTGCCGAACGGCTGTCATCTCCGACTAAATTAGGTAGCCCCAGGGCAGTTCGTTTTTGATTTGCAGCACAAACCATTTGTTCCACTTGCCTCTCAGCCATACTAAGAGCTTCCTCAGGCCCTGGCACTACGAACTCTCCAGAATTATCCATTAATGGTGTCACCTCTTTTCCTGTCTCAGAATTCGTCTCTTTTAAAAAAGCTTCATTGTCGCTGGACGATATTGATTTTGTAATACGTCTCTTTTTCGCCCCACGGGAGCGACCTCCGGACTTAGAAGCTGTCCTTGATACATCGCTACATAGGCTTGCATCTGATTCCGATCCAGCCTGCTTATCTCCTTCTGATGTTTTATAATTTTTATATTTTTCCATTTTTTTTCCCACGAGTGTGGAGGAAGTAACGGTCCATCCGAGCAGAGCCCCCTTTGCCCGGATAAGCCTATGCATAACCCGTCAAGGGTGTCGGCCGGTACCCTGACGGGGGGCAACGCTAACGACTGAACATTTACCCATCAGCCATGCAGCTCCTCACGGCGTGCCACGCTTGAGCTTCGGGTGATTTTTTATAGAGGTTATCATCCTCGCGACTCCAGGCGGTTAAGCCAAGAGCCCTCGGCCCCTCAGGCGCCGCGAGACATGATCCACGACACGCCAAAGGGATTCCGAGGTTCGAACGGTGGCAGAGTCGATACAGGTTCTTCCCATGCCTGCCCAGAGACCGGGTGAGGGAACCCTGAGCCCATTCAATTTCCTTTTTTTTTTCAGGATGTAGTCCCTGAAAATCCCGCGCTGACGCGCTGCCCGGCGTCGGCAAAAGCTGAGTGCACCTGGCATCTCACCGCGCATGTCACATTCTCTGTTCCTCTCAATGGAGAGGATACGGGAAGCAACAAAAGTACCTCGTACCTATGATTCCATTCGGAACCACAGGTACGCCCAAACCCAGCCAGTTTTGGTCCGCGACGGTTTCCCGCTACCACTCATATCTGAGTGGCATTCCCCTATCCGCCACCTGGGGACGCGCCCGATGGCAGGACTGGCAACTCCACACGGGAACCTAACCTAACCTAACCTAACCTAACCTAACCTAACCTAACCTAACCTAACCTAACCTAACCTAACCTAACCTAACCTAACCTAACCTAACCTTTTTTTTTTTTTTTTTTTGCATGGGGAAATGCCTACGCATACCCGCCTCACGGGGGCAAGGACGGGTTATGTCGGACTCGCACCGACTAAAACCCCATGGTGTTCCACCTTTGTCGCATATTGGCAGGGCTACGGGAACGCTTTCGCACACATCCGCGGCCCTACTAGCGCCTGCCGCCCCATGGCAGCACCTCCTCGGGAGAGGAAAATTCCTCCCCGTTCTCCTTCCCAGGTAAGGCGCACCAGAACACATGGCGCGCCTTCCTCCACGGCCTCCAACTACGTCTGTGCAACAGACGCCCCCGCGTCCGATGCACAAAGGCCATGGGGCCAGGAAAAACGAGCACTTAGAAGTACTAGCCTTCCCGACCCCAGCGGCGGATCTGGTCTATGGCTCCGCCGCCAACCAAGATTCGGCTGCGGAGGGTAGGGAGAGCGGCGCCTCGCAATACCGACAATCCTCTCCCCCCGCAGCCCCACCACCACCGCATCAACGGTGCGGCCCCGTTTGAGTCGCGAAGGATAGGGCGAGTGGCGCATCGCCATACCAACACTCCTCTTCCTCCGCGACTCCACCTCGGCTGCAGCGGTAGAGGGTGCGCGAGTCCCCACTCGCTGCAGTCCACCAGCACACATCCAAAGTGGGCTCCCCAAGCCCACTCGGAGCGGCCACCTCAGGCCGGCCCTTCACCTCGGGCCAGCCACGTGGGTTCCTCTTTGTTCACCGTGGGAGACCAAGCCACGGCTACTAAGCCCCCCCGCCACGACAAGGCGGGAACCCGTTCGGGGGGGAACCTAACCTAACCTAACCTAACCTAACCTAACCTTTTTTTTTTTTTTTTTTTTACGTGGGGAAATCCTCATGGATACCCGTCTGTCGTGTAGGCGTCAGACAGGTTATGCCGGACTCCTACCGGCTAAAACCCCACTGTTTACATCTCATCACCTTTTGTCAGGGCTACGGGAACGCTTTCGCATACTACCGCAATCCCGACGGCAACAGCCCTTACAGGCTCCGACTCGACGACTTCTTCTTGGAGGGGCGTACCATCACACCGTACGCGCCACCTCGAGGCCCTGCATAATAGGTGACGGACAGCCCCCTGTGTCCGCCCCCTAAGCCTCAATTACGGGGGGTGGAAGAGAGCCTGATATGCTCTTCTCCGGCGCCCAGCTCTCCGGCTGCGGATTGGGATTGTTGCCGTCTTTTCCCTCTCCCTCTCCGCAACTTCCTTTTGTGACATCACTTTTTCGCAAAATGTTACCCCAGCACTCCACGCCCTCTCGCATCCAACCATAGCTTTAATAAAAGCTGGGAGCGAGAGGTCATCCCCCACTACAGCCACGAGGTCCCGACGCAAGTCAGCCCAAGCCGGGCAAACCTCAAGGGTATGCTGCGCCGTGTCCTCGTCGCTACCACAGTGATGGCACTCAGTTGTCGGCTCTCTTCCGGCTATACGGCACAGATACTTACCGAAGCACCCATGCCCGGAAAGCACCTGCACCAGCCGGAAGGTCAGTGACCCATGTCGCCTGTTTGTCCAGTCTAACATGACCGGAAGAACAGCATCGACAGTTCTGCTTCCTGCCTTCGGGTGGGCTAGACGCTCCTTCCACTTTTCAAGCACCTGTTGCCGAGTGTGGAGCTTTCGCAATTGCCACTCTCTGGGAGAGGGGGGACATCCTCGGTGTCGAAGTTCCAAGCGCCAATCGTACATAGACGCAAGGAACTCCGCCTCTATATCCCAGGGTGGGGACGCCGCCAAAACGCATGCCGCCTCAAAGGAGATCGTCCGGTATCCTCGCACGACTCCGACGGCCATCGCCCTCTGGGGCCGTCTCAGGAAGGCGATGGTTCTTTCCGTCAGAGCCCCAGCCCATATAGGGGCCCCATATAAAGCCATGGACCGAACCACCCCCAAATAGAGACGGCGGCAATTCGCATCGGGCCCTCCGACGTTGGGTAGCAACCTTTTTAAGGCAGCTGTTGCTCTCATTAGCCGGGGGGCCAAGCACCTAAAGTGCTCGCGGAAGCTCCAACGGCTATCCAGGATGAGTCCAAGGTACCTCATATTGGACCCAACCTGAATACGGACATCACTGACAATGATGTGGGATCCCTGTGGCGGTGCTTTTCTTTCTTTTTTTTTTTTTTTTTTTTTTTTTTTTTTTGAAAAAAAAAAACCTAACCTAACCTAACCTAACCTAACCTAACCTAACCTAACCTAACCTAACCTAACCTAACCTAACCTCAACCTAACCTAACCTAACCTAACCTAACCTAACCTAACCTAACCTAACCTAACCTAACCTAACCTAACCGATTTTTTTTGTCCAGTAAAAAGTTTTTATTCTTGTTAATTTTGTTTTTTACTCTTATTTAAATTTTTATTTTATTGTATTAACTTAAATTTATTCTTACTTTCATTTATTGTATTATATTTTCCTTACTATATTGACCTCAATATTTACAACTGACTCTACATAGAGCCATACGGATATTTACAAAATTGGACAGGTATAGAATTTAATTTAAATATAGACTTTGAGCCACTCTGTAGAGTGGTGTTAATATACAACGACGTAGAGTCGAGACTCTACAAAAAATTTACGCATCTTTATTTTTACTTTTGAGTTAATTTATTTTATTTTATTTTATTTTTATTTATTTTATTGTTTTATATGGCCGGAAATTTGATTGAGGCCTGACTTGGGTTCGTGGTGGTTGTAAAACAGCATATCAATTCAAACATTTTTCTCTAAAATTTTTTTAACTTATACAACTTACTTTTTCTGCTGGAGGGAAATTATATGAAACAGAGTGTGTCAGTCTTATACATATTTAAATAATTTAGGAGATAGTAGGGTAACTCTACATAGAGACTCTACATTGAATAATTAAAAATTTATCGCAGCAGCCGATAGTTTAGATATCACTGCACGAACTCATTATAGCCGTATCGAACTGTATAATATATAAAACTTTTACAAACTTTTTAAATTTATAACTTTACAAAATTTATATTTTGTAAAAATTTTTACGTAACGAGGACGCGTTCCCCTGACGATGTTTGGTTTCCGCACTCCTTCTAAAAAGACAGAGGACAGTATGCAAGGCTCTCCAAAAGGGACAGAGGGGACTGAAACATCCCCTAAATTAAATGAAACGGTAACAGTCAGTAGCGTTAGAAGAAGCATCGGAGAGTGGGAGGCAGCAAAAGTAGATGTGGAAGTTGGAAAACAAACCTCTCCCAAAAAGGCGGTCCCGGTGACGCGCCAGAAACATAAAATTGTACCATCACAACCACAAGAAGCAAGAGGGGCAACACGTAGAGTCCTGGTAGAGTCTACAGAGCAATCACCAAAAATGGAAACAACAAAATACATAGATCGCCTGACGGAAGCAAGGGCTTGCCTGAACAAGGCAAAATTGCATCTAAGCAACTCGCGTAACCTCAGGACAGACATAAAAACTGAGGTTACCCAGGCGATTGATAGACTCTACCAGTTGGTAAAGGAAGCAGAGGCTGGCAAAAACACAGGGAAAGAAAGGAAAACAAAAGAACAAGAGAAGAAAGACGACAAATTGGTGGATAACCATGAAAATAGAGAGCTAGAAGAACATAATAAATTAATAAAGAAGCTGGAAGAACACGGCAAACTTTTGGAAGAAAACAAGAATGAAATGGGAAAACTTAGAGAAGAATTACAAAAGCATGAAAGTAAGGAAGAGAAAGGTACGTACGCAAGTATACTGGCAGGACCACCGAGGAGACAGCTACCGCACAATACGACCATGCATTCGGTAGCGATAACATCAACTGATGAGAAGGAAACGGGTGAACAAGTGATGAATCGGATCAGAACAGTAATAAATGCCCAGGAAGAAGGGATAAAAATAGACAGGATCAGGAAAGCAAGAGATAGGAAGGTGATAGTGGGATGTTGCACCCAGGAGGAATTAAATAGGGTAAAGGAGAGGATAAAGAATGTTAGTAAGAGCTTGAGCGTTAACGAAATAAAGAATAAGGATCCATTGGTAATACTGAAGGACGTGCTTCAGTATAACACAGATGAAGAAATTATAAAAGCTATAAAGGTACAGAACAAACAGCTGTTCAAAAACATAGAGGGAAATGAGAATAGAATGGAGGTCAAGTATTGGAGAAAATCCAGGAACCCACACACAATGCATATCGTGGTGAGAGTGTCACCTCAGTTAT